CTTGTAAGGCTTATTACTTTTGTTGCACTAGAATCAAGCTGATACGGCCTGAATGTTTGCAGAAGGTGCAGGTAGTCAGATTTCTGGTACTTCAAAGGAACAGTGAGTAAGCTTGTTTTTTCAGAAGTACTGAGTTGTCTTGTCAGAAGCCCTGAATGCTTTGTTCCTTATCCACAGCAACTTAACACTCAGGTTGTTTTGAAAAGATTGAAGTAAGTTTAAAAACCAGTGTCACCTGGTGTAAACCTCTATTTTTTATTTACTCTATGTGATGATGTAATATTTCATTTCTTTGCAGGGGTTCATGATTCAGACTGGTGACCCAACTGGTACAGGAATGGGAGGTGAAAGTATTTGGGGAGGAGAATTTGAAGATGAATTTCATTCAACTTTACGACATGACAGGCCATACACACTCAGCATGGCTAATGCAGGACCAAATACCAATGGATCCCAGTTTTTTGTAACAGTAGTGCCAACGGTAAGTAATATTAAAAGCTCAATTGAAGAGTTAGCTTCTATCTACATACATTCTATCTACATACATTTAGTTGTAGCATGTATTTTTTTTCTGATGGAAAAAGGAACACACTAGTACTACTAGTGCCAAAACCCAGAAATTTTGGTATGTGAATCATAGAGATACAAAACAAATCCTTAAACATAACGCTTAAAGAAACTGCAGTTTTAGAACACTTATTTCAAAATCATGTGTCTCTTTTTAAAAAAGCAGCCTTCTACCAGAATTTTAAGGCTTATTAAGTTATATCAGTGCCTATATTCACATTGCTAACTGGGCAAACTCTGTGAACATGATTTTGAATTAAGTAGTGTTCTGGACTGGCAGCTACAATCCAGCTGTGAAAATACCATGAAATGCACTATAGAGAACCAGCATTTCTCTGAACTGAGAATACACTTTTAAGAAAACAATTGAAAAGGTGAGCTTAAATGCATATAAATATGCATTAGATGCACTCTGGTATTTACTTACATGGTAATATTTACATAGTGTTAAGTTTCATAATCTGAACATATAAAATGTATCCATGTACACTTACTGTAGGTCAGTCTCTTTCTGGTTTGGTGCCTAACCTACATGCTGCATTCTATTTTAATATGTTTTTTTCTTTTTTCTCCTGTGCCTTCAAACAGCCATGGCTGGACAACAAGCACAGCGTGTTCGGACGGGTGACTAAAGGAATGGAAGTTGTTCAGAGAATCTCAAATGTAAAAGTCAATCCCAAAACTGACAAACCGTATGAGGATATCAGCATCATTAATATCACAGTGAAGTGAGACTCAAAACAGGAACTAGAACAGAAACATTTTTGTTCCAGATGTAATAAATGCCATGACAGAGCAATCGTAGAATAGTTGGGTTGGAAAGGACCTTAAGATCACCTAGTTCCAACCCCCTGCCATGGGCAGGGACACCTCACACTAAACCATGCTGCCCAAGGCTTTGTCCAACCTGGCCTTGAACACCGCCAGGGATGGAGCATTCACAATCTCCCTGGGCAACCCATTCCAGTGCCTCACCACCCTAACAGAAAACATTTCTTCCTTATATCCAGTCTAAATCAGAGAATACTTAAGGTCCTTTCCAACCCTAAGATCATCTCATTGGTTTTACTATTTTTAATGTACCTGAAGTGCCCTAAATCTGTATTTCTGGTAATTTTGTATTTTAAAATAAAAACAGCTGCATGTTTCTTATGAAGTCTGCTGTTTTCCTTTTACCTCTTCTATGGAAGAATAAAAACACACACCATGCCTCATTAGTGTTTATAAAATAGGATCAGGGTATAGTTTGTGATTTTTTTTTTTTTCCATGTTTATTTGCATTTTTCAAATCTAATCCTTTTCATAGTATTGAAATCCTTGTCAAAGGAAAAGGTCATAAATCCCAAGCTCTTCAGTCAATGTACATGCATCTCAGATTAAGTTATGATACAGGTTGTTATAAAAAGGTATATAATCTACCTTTGTCCTTTAAGAATGGATGTGTATGTGTCTTCTGTGGACAAGAGCAAGGATCAGCTCTTGGAATGCCAGCACATGGAATCCTGAGCAATGTGTTTGGCATTGCCAATGTTAATTTCTTTCAGTGTGTGCTGTTTCATTATTTTAGTCTAGGGTGTCTGTTTCTGGCTTCATTTTTAGCCAGTCCTGCAAATAATACTACTTTTACTAAAATGCTTAATTTAAAATGGTGACCATTTCAAACTTCCATCAGATGTTTCTGATGCAGACCTCAATGAAAGCCCAGACACCTTCTCAAGCTGTTGTGAATCTGTGGCTGTGTTCTGTCCTGTTACTATGCTGGACAGCTAAATCCACTCTAAATACAGTAACTTTAACTTCTGTTGTTGAGGTTCACATTAACGCCACTGCACTCAGGATTTTACAGTTCTGGTAACTTTGTTGATGAAGTGATGCATACTGACCAAATTCAGTCCCTCAAAAGCTGCTTGGACTAGGAAGTTTTATCTTCACTGAGATAAAGGGATAGGTATCATTAGGGATCAGTAAGAAAATGCTACAGAGCACACCTTTATTATGAAATGATATTATGAAATGATTTATTATGACCTTAAAAAAATAGCAAGCTTATTGAAATTTCTTCTCACTTTTATTGAAAAAAATTGGTTTTCTGGGCAACTCAAATTGCAGCAGCTCATGAATTGTTTCTATTGGAAGATGCCTTTCAGTTCAGAGTAAGAACACAGAATAAAATCCGCATGTACCACATAGTCCACAATAAATCTGAAGGTAGCATAGAGTTAAGACCATATCAAAAGAGAAAACATTATTTTTCACTTAGCTTAGACGTACTGGTTTTGAGCTGAGATTCTTTAAAGAAAGCCACAACACAGTCACTGGATGTTGTATTTATTCAATTTCACAATTAAGTCAAAATCCTATGAAAAAGTTACTCAGTCTTTTCACATAATCCTCATAGTTAGTAATGCTTCAAGTAAGTTCTAGTTGAGAAAACACTCCAGTTACATACCACATACGTCAGTACACTAAACCTAAAGTTCAATAAAACTAGTGAAACAAGCTTAAATTTATAACTGAAGCAGTTTATATATAGTATTAATGTATAATACAAATAAACCTCTTAGTGTACCTTACACTGAAGAGTTCACAGATGGATGCAACAATTTCACAGTTGCTTCAAGTCATCTTAAATAAATTCCATTTAAGAACACTTTTATGGCAGCATTCCATGTGTCACAAGCAATCCTTTGAACTCAAAAGTATGAGTGATTATTTCTCCTCTGCCCTCAAATATAATGTTACAAAAAATCCAAACTAGTCACCTTGAACCTTCTGAAGTAGAACTATTCTGAGAGGCATGTGTAACTGCAGCATAGCCAGCTCAATTAAAACTACAGAATCAGGATTTTTCTAAAGAATGCACATCTTCTCTGTTGAAAATGTTCCAGGAAAAGGTATCTACCATGCTTAGCAGAACTTGTCCATATTTAAAAAAAAAGCTGTGAGGGGACAGTCAGCCCTGCCTAGGTCTGGGTCTGCTTGCCATACAGCCCAAGCAGACAGAAAAGTCAGAGCAGCCAACAGTCTGTTGTTCAGGAAGTTACAGGCTCGGAAGCATCAACAATTTTTAGTTCATTTGGTGCAAGAAAAAACACCTTTCACTCCTCTGTAAACCTCTTCCAAATTGATAAGGTTGTCTGAAGAAAGAGTGAATACCCCATGACATTTAAGAAACAAGATAAAACTACAATAAAGTGTCATTTTGAGGAAGTAGTCCTTCACCTTGAAGTGCAAACGTACTAAATTATTTGTTCATACATTCTTGGCTTTACCTAAGGTATGTAGTGGGAAGATGTAAAATTGATACTACAGCAAAAGCCATGGCCACAGATAATGGGATATATTTTTGCCTGGTGAGGTTCAGAACACGCACAGGTAAACACATGCTTTCCACTGTGGCAAAATACCTACACTCATCTAGGAAATAACACTGCTCACTTCCACTGTGTGGTTCTCATGATTCACCTCTACTCCAGTAACAGGTGATGATACACCATTTTGATCTATTGGCCATATTCTCTAGCTCTTCCTGCAACATGAAGAGGTCCATAGCCTGGCATCTTCAGTTGGTGATGGGTGTACATAAAGAGGAGGGCAGAAGATACTGGTGGACATACCAGACAGGTAAAAGTGGTAGTGGAGTTGCATGTGCAGCAGTAAAAAAAAAGAGTCATCACTAAGTCATTGCAACGTTCTCCAAATAGTGCTACAGCCATATTTTATGGGTTTGTGAATGAGTAATCCTTGAAAATAGAGACATTGGTGACAGTTCTGAACTGAAAATCTAATTATGGAAGGTTTATATCACATTTTACCATCTGCTCTTCTAAGTGAGAGTTACAAGTAGTCTATACTGTTTAAACATTGTGTTATTTCATATTTTAAGGTCACTGCCTTAATCTGGAAGCACGACTTCTACACAACAGTACATAGCTGGATTGACATTACACCACACTACTACGAGAAGTTTGTTTGGCTTTTTTTTAACTTGACTTCTTGAGGAGCAAGCTTAATCTCTAGAAGCAGATTATGTCCTCAAGCATGCATAAAACACTTTCACCTCAATGTCACTATAATCTGTTCATAAATAGTTCAGCATGTGTACAATTAACCAAAAACCCCACACAACCCCTCTCTCCTGCAACTAGAAAACTCGTTGCTAAACAAAGCCGCAGCCCCCTCACCCTGCAATACTGTTCCCCATTTGCAGGTTACTTTGCCCTGTTATGCTGCCTTCCAGTAACAAATGGTGAAGGTATGAAATAAGGGGAAGACATCTGCTTTTTGTGGTGTATTTGCCTGTAATTTGCAATGCCACTTTTACACAAATGCATTCCTTATATATTAAAGAGTAGCACCATTTATTTCTGACTAACAGACAGAGCTGGCTATTCTAATAACTTGAGATGGATTTTGGAATAGTTTCCTGGTAAGTGTTTCTACCTCTTAAAATTTTTCTGACACCAGTTAAGCACTGTAACTTTGTTACAATTATTAGATGAACTCCAATGCATATTTTATCAGGGGATAATTTTAAGTTAAACAGCCTAGTTTCACAAAAGCAGAATTTGAAGGCACCCTTGTAACCAGCCCATTCCATTATTTATAAATATATCAAATTTCAAAAACACTGTAATGGCACACATTTAATGAACCAATTATTCAATCTTGGATAAAGGTTTATATTTTTTCTGTAACCACCAAGTTAAATAAGGTCCCCTCTTCAGGCAGCAGACCTGGCTATAACATCCTAAATCGTGCAAACAAAACAAACCACAACTTTAAATTGCAGCTGCTGTAATATTAAGCCACATCAAGGACACCAGCAGCCACTAACTGCCTTGAAAGCCAGTCCAGTCCCTCATAAAGTCCTGTACCACTTCGGGCATCACAACCCTGAATATACCAGCTACGGCCACAGCAGAGTTTGTGGAGACTGAGCAGCTCTGTGATTTCCTCCACTGAAAGTGCACCTGCTACATCCTGCAACAGAATCAGATACAAATAATTATTCTGTGTCGCGTATGAAGCATTTTGTTTTTAACAGATGGCTTAGACAGAAGCTACAGATCATGCAAAAAACTTTCCAAGTACAAAAGCCAAATCAAACAGTTATGCATTTACTACTCCTTACCATAAACCAAAAAAGTTGTTGAATCTACTAAGCACCCTAGCATTACTTATTTTACCAGTGTTAAGGAAAACGTGTTTTATGCTTTCCACAATACTATTCCTTAACCATAGCATAGGGTTCAGAAAGTGGAATTTGAGGCAGAAACTGAGGAAAAGAATAACAGAGAGAAAAAAAATTGCAAATACCTGTTTATTAGCAAAGATCAAGAGTAAAGCATCCCGCAATTCCTTCTCTGTTAACAACTTTGCAAGTTCACTGTGTGCTTCACTGACTCTGTCTCTGTGGCTGCTATCAACAACAAACACCACCGCTATGAAAGAAAGAAAGAAAACTTTTACATACATCCAAATATAAACTCTGTAAAATTACTTTCAACTTACACAATTCTTTTTTTCTATTTCTGTGAAATTCCTCAGCAGAACACAACTGCAATTTCAAATGCACGAGGACTGAGAAATGTCTTACATACCTCTATACCTTTGACAAAAACCTAGAATTCATCCTAAAACTAGGAAAAAAAAGTCTCAGTTTTTTTGCTTAGACTAGCATAAAGGCTGTGATATTTTAACTACTTAGGTTTAAAACCAGATTTACTATGTGTGGATTGAGTATCTCAGTTGACCATTTCTTGATCCATTTATACTCAACTCCCACACCACTGTTCCAGTTTCCATTAACCAGCTGTAAAATTTACAGATTCAGCCAAATAGTACAGCTTCCTTCAGCTACTGACTACACAATTCAGAGAAGATTGCCATGGACCCAACACAGCAGCAGTAGATTTTACTATCCACTATAGAGAGTGACCAAGACGCCAGAAAGGAGTCAGAGAGGAAAAGCTAGAGGACAGAATTTGAAGTCACATTTTTTTGCAACGACAAAATCACCAACACCAAAACGAAACAAAGCCTACTGCAGGTATACACCAGGTTAACTGCTCGGATTTCTCTCCAACATACTATTCTTCGAAGCAGACGAGATTCCATGCTATTGCCATTCACACGGTAGTTTTAAGAGGACACAGGAATCCCGAAATACATTTTTTACAAGTTTGAAAATGTCAACAATTTAAAATGTTAAAGTTTGCAATGAAGGCTGAAATAATGCATTAAATGGAGCACATAAATTGATTATTTGTCATTCCCAGGTACTTCAGATAATTCTGAATGAATTGATGAAGAGGAACCCTCTTCTAAATCAGAACACAACTGTGGAGGATTTACAGAAGGACAGCACAAATTTCTAAGTTGGCACCATCCATATCAGTGTTTTCAGAATCTGTAATTTAGGCTATGATGAGATATTACACTGCAATACCAAGTCAGAAATTATAGAACTTTGTAGATTGGAACACTGCACCTTGCCTGTTGTCAGCTAGAATGAGTTCAACAGAGAGTCTAATTTTGTTTGGCTTCATGAACTGTCTGATGGATTTATGGAGAATGCGCCTTTATCATGCAGCAGACACCAACTGGTTTAAAATTTCTTAGCTCATGAATCCAGCATCTGTACTCTGCATTAGGTGAACAGTTTTCTACAGTTATAAATTATCTCTATTAATAATCTTTGTGGCTCTGCAACACAAGCTAGAAGACAAAATACATTTTTAAAAGTTGCATTAGTCTCACCTTGTGTATTGAGATAATAGTGTTTCCACAATGGTCTCAATTTGTGTTTCCCTCCTACATCCCAAATAGTAAACTTCAAATTCTTGTATTCTACTGTTTCAACATTAAAACCTACAATAAAAATATTAAAGTTTTACAGTCTTGTTTTGCATGAATATAAAATAAGCAAATTCTACAGATAAGTCAAACATTCGAAAAATAATTACATTTAAATTGTTGCTACTAACCTATTGTTGGAATTGGCTGCATGAATTCATCTTGCTTTAACTTAAACAAAATAGTTGTTTTGCCAGCTCCATCTAATCCCAGAGTTACAACCCGAATTTCCATTTTTGGTCCAATATGTACCCTATTGTCCTGGAGGAAAAAGCATACACAAAACAAGAGCAAGTTTAGTGAACTCGACTTAGACAACCCTTATGCATAAGTGTTAATATATAAAAGAAATAAATATATAAAGTAGTGACTTATTTTGTCACTACTTTCCAACCCATTTGATTCTATGATTCTGTGATGCTATTTGTGAAGTGATTAAGTGGATGGATTTAAAAAATCCTTGAGGAGCTGTTTGTAGCAATTAGAATTCTCTGACTGGAGAACTCTGTTGGTTTTGTAGCATTTCCACTATATTTTGTTATGCCTCTTCACCTCAAGCCACTTCCAATTCATTACTACATTACAACAGCAACATTATTAGCAGTAATCTGAAATACTGAAGAAAAACAAACAAAACAAAACCCTAAGTCTGGCTTGGAGGCAAGGAAAGAGAATCAACTTCCTACCTGTAGTTTAGACCAAGCTATTGTGAGTATTGAATGAGCCAATGCTAACAATGTGATCAAGCTGTATTACTAATACAAAGCAGAAAGCTGGAAATGATAAAATAAACATAGGCTAAGATTACTGTTTATCCCTGAAATACTTAGAAATGCTACCTTGATGACATACCAAAGTTTCCATCATAAATACATGACGAATTAGAGATGTGTGCACGTCTATGGGGGTATGATATAATAGGCGTCACAGAAACATGGTGGGATGGCTCCTATGCCTGGAGTGTTGGAATGGAAGGTTACAGGCTCTTTAGAAAAGACAGGCCTGGCAGGCGGGGAGGGGGAGTTGCCCTCTATGTTAGGGATAGGCTGGAGAGTATGGAACTCTGTCTGGGACAGGTGAGCAGTCAACAGAGAGTTTGTGGGTCAGGGTTAAAGGGAGAACAGCAATAGGAGACATTACTGTGGGGATCTGTTACAGACCGCCTGATCAAGAGGAATCTGTGGATGAAGCTCTCTACAGACAGACAGGAAAAGCCTCACGCTTGCAGGCCCTTGTTCTCATGGGGGACTTCAACCACCCTGACATCTGTTGGAAGGACGGTACTGCCTGGCACAAGCAATCCAGGAGGTTCTTCAATTGTGTGGAAGACAACTTCCTTCTGCAAGTAATAGAGGAGCCAACAGGGAGAGGTGCCATGCTTGACCTCATGCTCACCAACAGCGAAGGGCTGGTTGGAAATGTGACGCTCCAGGGCAGCCTTGGATGCAGCAATCATGAGATGGTCGAATTTGAGATCCTCAGGACAGTGAGAAGAGCGTGCAGCAAGCTCACTGCCTTGGACTTCAAGAGAGCAGACTTTGGCCTCTTCAGGAACCTGCTTAGTAAGGTTCCCCCTAGAGGGCAGGGGGGCCCAAGACTGTTGGTGGATATTCAAGGATCACCTGTGTCCTGGGTTCAGCAGTAGCAGTCATTTTTCTCCTTCTTGGTAGCTGGTGCAGTGCTGTGGTTTTTTTTTTGGTTTGGCCAAGGACTTTGTGAGCGTCATGCTCTACCAGTGAAGAGGGGAAGCTGGGAGGAAGCAGAGACAGGACACCTGACCCAAACTGACCAAAGAGGTATTCCATACCACAGCATGTCATGCCCAGGAGGTAACTGGGAGTTAGCCAGAAGGACACGGGGTCTTCTGGGTCGGACTCGTTTTTTGGCGGGTGCTATTGTATTCTCTTCCCTTGATATTTTCTCTTAGCATTGTTGTCGCTGGTGGTAGCGGTGGTGATTTGTGTTATACCTTAGTTACTAAACAGTTCTTATCTCAACCAGCGGGAGCTGCATTCTTTTCGATTCTCCTCTCCATCCTTCCAGGAGTAGGGGGAGGGAAAGAAGGTGGGGGGAGAGAGTAAACAAGCTGTCTGGCTGGGTTTAAACCATGACAGTTCTTTTGGCACTCAACATGGGACACGAGGGGTTGAGATAACGACAGATCTGACCGGATTAACAGTCACTCGTCACAATGCTGATTTACTGGCCCTCAGATTTGTTCCTCTTGATCTCACAGTTTCAGAATGCTGTAACTTACTTAGACCTGGTATTTGTTGTGTTGGTGTTTATCAAGTGTGGGGCTTGGGCTAAGGTTCTTGTCTCACTGTATTCTATGGCAATGACTTGTATTACAGGTGGGCTCCAGCAGCAGGGCAGGACAAATGCGGCCATGGACTTGTACCTGGCTGTCCGGCTGCTCTTCACTGTCCTGGCCTTTGTGTCCTCACCTCCATCTACATGAGGCCGCAGGGAGCCAAAGGGAAGCGGCCTAGGAGAGCGGCTCCGGGGACCAAGCAGGAGGCCAGCAGGGAGCGGCTGCCAGTGGAGGAGGTTGGGGTGGTCGAGGAGCGGAAGGAAGCGGCTGCTGAGCAGCGGGAGCAAGGGGCAGAGGAGCCGAGCCCAGCCCCGCGACGGCCGAGCGCATTCCCCGGCAGCCGCCCGCCGAGCCCCAGGAGGATGCAGGAGACCATGCAGCACTTCCCAGCAAGGCAGAGGAGGAAGAGCTGGACTCAGGAAAAGAGAAGCTGGCGGTGGGAGAGCCGGCAAGCACAGCAGCTACACCAGCCCCAGTGACAAGTACAGCAGCATCGTTTGAGAGTGCTGAAGGTTTTGAATGGCCTTTGGGTATCCTTGGGACCTGCCTGCTGATTGTGATGGGGATCAGCATGTTGGCACACATACAGAATGTGTTTTACCCACAACCATTTTGTCTGATCTCAGAAGTTAAGCAGAGTCAGGTTTGGGTCTTGTCTGGGGTTAGACAACAATATAGGGGGACCAAGAGGTTTTCCCCAAGGCTGGACAGTCATGAGTGGCAGGGTGTGTGGAACAGTATGGGCAAGTATCTAGTCCACTGGGCCCCTCCAGTGCTTTGGAAGCATCGGAGATGGAAGGCAGCTGTATGGAGTCCCCAACAACAAGCTGCAGAAACTGCTGAAGGGGACAGTGAATTATTTTGAGCCTGGTGGGCCCATGGCACTTCAGGCCATCAGAGCAGAGATGCAACACAGAGATGGACTCATGATCGAGGGGTGGACTTAGCAATGGACACTATTGCCCAGGTTATTCACGAGTGTGAACACTGCACACAGTCTCTCCTGCTCTGGAAGACTGTTACAAGAGATGGAGCCTGACATCATGGACCAGATGGACTCAGCAGCTTTATAGGGACTGGTCCATGCAATAAGATAAGAGTGATAGTATATTGAAAATGTGGGATCTGAGCATGACATGAATGGTATGGAATAAGGGGTGGATAATGTCCAGGGTTCAGCAGTAGCAGTCACTTTTCTTCTTCTTGGTAGCTGGTGCAGTGCTGTGTTTTGGCCTGGGAACAGAGCTGATAACAATGATGTTTTGGTTTGGTCATGGACTTTGTGAGCCTCATGCTCTGCCAGGGAGGAGGGGAAGCTGGGAGGAGGCAGAGACAGGACACCTGACCCAAACTGATCAAAGAAGTATAACATACCACAGCACGTCATGCCCAGGATGTAACTGAGAGTTACCCGGAAGGACACGGGGTCTTCTGGGTCGGACTCGCTTTTCAGCAGGTGCTAATGTATTCTCTTCCCCTGATATTTTCTCTTAGCATTGTTGTCGCTGGTGGTAGTGGTGGTGATTTGTGTTATACCTTAGTTACTAAACTGTTCTTATCTCAACCAGTGGGAGTTGCATTCTTTTCGATTCTCCTCTCCACCCCTCCGGAGTAGGGGGAGGGAAAGAAGGGGAGTAATGTGAGTGAATGAGCTGTCTGGCTGGGTTTAAACCACAACAACCTGCTACAAGCTCAGGAGTGTTGCGTCCCAACTAGAAGGAAGTGCGGCAGGAGGGCCAGGAGACTTCCTTGGATGGATAAGGAGCTGCTGAAGAAACAGGGGGAAAAAAGAGGCTTATAGAAGGTGGAAGGAGGGACAGGGATGTTGTCCAGGAAGCTACAGACCAGGTCAGGAAAGCTAAGGCCCAGTTAGAATTAAATTTGCCTAGAGATGTGAAAGATAACAGGAAGGGATTCTATAGGTACACTGTGAATAAAAGACAGACTAGGGAAAATGTGGGCCCCCTCCAGAAGCTATCAGGAGAACCCTGGATTTGGAGAAGGCTGAGGTTCTTTGCCTGGCAAAGGCTCTGAATGCACCACCCAAGTCTTGGAAGGCAGATGCAGGGACTGTGAGAATGAAGACCTTAAGTCCACTGTAGGAGAGGAACTGGTTCAAGACCATCTTAAGAACCTAAATGTGCACAAGTCCATGGGACCTGATGAAATCCATCCGTGGGTCCTGAAGGAGCTGGCGAAGGAAGTTGCTAAGCCACTGAATTTGAAAAACCATGAATTTGAAAAATCATGGCAGTCAGGTGAAGTTCCCGATGACTGCAAAAAGGGAAATATAACCCCCATTTTCAAGAAGGGGAAAATGGATGACCCAGGGAACTACAGAGCAGTCAGTCTCACCTCTGTGCCTGGCAAAATCTTGGAGCACATTCTCCTGGAAGGCATGCTAAGGCACATGAAAAACAACAAGGTGCTGGTGACAGCCAGCATGGCTTCACTAAGTGGAAATCCTGCCTGACCAATTTGGTGGCTTTCTGTGATGGGGCTACAGAACTGATGGACAGGGGTAGAGCAGTTGATGTCATCTACCTGGACTCGTGTAAAGTGTTCGACACTGTCCCACATGACATCCTTGTCTCTAAATTGGAGAGACATCAATTTGATGGATGGACCACTCGGTGGATAAAGAACTGGCTGGATGGCCGGAAAACAAAGAGTTGTGGTCAATGGCTCAATGTCCAGCTGGAGACCAGTAACGAGTGGTGTCCCTCAGGGATCGGTGTTGGGACCGGTCTTGTTCAACATCTTTGTTGGTGACATGGACAGTGGGATTGAGTGCGCCCTCAGCAAGTTTGCCGATGACACCAAGCTGTGTGGTTCGGTTGATACGCTCGAGGGAAGGAATGCCATCCAGAGGGACCTTGACACACTTCTGAGGTGGGCTGATGCCAACCTTATGAATTTTAACCATGACAAGTGCCAGGTCCTACACCTGGGTCGGAGCAATCCCAGGCACAGCTACAGGCTGGGCAGGGAAGAGGTTCAAAGCAGGTTGGATATAAGAAGGGAATTCTTTCCTGTTAGGGTGGTGAGGCACTGGAATAGGTTGCTCAGGGAGGTTGTGAATGCTCCATCCCTGGCAGTGTTCAAGACCAGGTTGGACGAGTCCTTGGGCGATATGATTTAGTGTAAGTTGTCCCTGCCCACGGCAGGGGGGCTGGAACTAGATGATCTTAAGGTCCTTTCCAACCCTAACGATTCTATGATTCTATGATATAATAACAGTTTACAGTGTTTGATCTTAAGATCTTATTTGTCTTAAATCTGTTGCCAGACACAGGCCTTTCAGGTATAAGCCTCACAACAAGTTACAACAGCAGCCATCAGCACAGCAGTATTCAAAAAAACCCCAAATCATTGTGTAGAATAAGAGTTTAAAATTGTCAGAAGTGGGAAAACATAACAAGTAAGATACTGAAATAATTATTTTTGCTTTACTTTTTCATGGCTGTTGCTGTTCTTGTGAAAAATGACATCTGCTTTGGCACCTTTGAAATTCAAAAGCTAGGCTTCAGATTTCATAAAAATACCAATTTGTCACAGGATAAAATCAATAGAAGCCCCATTTCTTTCTAAAGAAAGGTGATGTGTAGTGACATACTAAAGACTTCTGGGTCCCCCAAGGCATGACCTATTTCAGATCTCCTATTACAGCTTAGCTTGCTGCAACGATTCTGTTTCCAAATTTATCAGAATTTTCTGAGTTATATTAACAGTTCCTAAATGCCAAACCTGACATTCAAAACGCCTCTCTAACTCAGCCTTCTGAGATGGAGGCAATAATCAGCTCTGAATACACAGAATGTGATTTACCATCTGTGAAATGTGAATGCTGCTCCATTCATGGAACAATGGGTGCTTGCAGGAGAAGTCTTCCTGACCCTACTAACTCTGGTCTCTGCTGAGTAGGGAAGGGAGGGGCAGTAGTGAGAATGTTGCGTTTATTGATCTGACAGAGCAGTTATGGGGAAATTCAAATATACAAAAATTATTTGGAAGAAATTGCATTTCTGACATCAAGAATGACTGGGACAGAATCCCCAAGGAAGCACTTATTTCCTTACAGTAAAAGCTTCAACAGCAACAGTTAAATCCTCAGTTTCACTCAGGAATAGTAGTATTCCTCTTTCACCCATTCAGAACCAAAAACCCCTACATAAATCATAGTATTTCTTGTTCTTTAGAGTTTCAAACTTATTTACTCTCCTACATGAAAGGCATCACCATTATCAAATCAAAAACATTTCATCCCTTTCAAAGAATGGGTAGTATTCAAGTGATATTACAGGAACAACAAAAACAACCAGAACTTAGGTGTACTGTGTCTAAGCTACCAATGAATAGCAACTATAAGCCAATTATAAGTTAACAAAATGAAAGAAATACATCGATTTTAGTACTATAAACCAAAAGTTATAACAGCATTATTGCATTTAAAAATGGGTGTGTAATTTTCACGAACTAAAATAATAAACATTGTAGAAGTTATGCTGTCCTCAAGAACAAGCCAAAAATGCACAGAAAAGCAAGGGGAGATTCCTGCTCTAAGTTAGATGCATGACAAATCACAAATGTTTTCAAAGAAAAGTGTTTCTAGAATGCACTATCTTACATACTTAAAAGAAAGCAGCTAATGTTCAAAGCTACTGATGTAGCTTTGTAACAAATGCTTCTCACACAAATTGTAACAGCACAATGGGTTTGTTGCTCAAATACCAGATTGCATTCATCATGTGATAAGACGCTGTGGGTCAAACAGATACCTAACTGCTTAAATTAGCTGCAACAAATATAGCATCATAATGAACATATATTATTCCTGTTTTCTTTTTAATTATGTTTGGGACTTCATTAAGTGGATAGCTGTCCTTTCACAAGACTAAGAATACCTTTGTAAAAGTGACAGGTATGCTAGCATCCAGCTGTATGTGATCTGCAAGTTCCGTAAACTGCTGCTGCTGTTTCTGTAAGGTCTCTAGCAATCTTGTAATTTCTTGTTTGGCCAATACTACTCTGCAGTCATCCTAAACAGACAAAGAAAACAAAAGCATATCTTTCCTGTAGTAACTTACTTAGAATAGCCAAACACAATGTAAATATGACAACTAGAAATAAAGCATTTTAAGTATAAATATTCTAGTTAAAAACTCACATTTACAAAATAGTTATTTAAAACTTCAATAAAAATGTGAAGGCCTTGCTGTTCTTCCTTAATACTAATAAACACTAAATAGTTCTACAGTCTTAAAAAACTTTCTTTGACCCCTCTTATTCCTGTAGGAATAAGAATATAAGAGGCAGTAAGATATATATATATATATGGAATATTTATCATTCATATATCACTCCAACAGCTGGAACAGAGCAGCTGTTTTGCAACATACAGCAACACACTTAACTCAGAAAGATTAATATCCATCCATTGATGACGGGAACATTTCATAGTTAAAAGTACATCTGACTAAGCAACCAGACAATAGCTATAAACAAATTAAAAAAAAGTATCAAAAACACATGAATGAAGTTATTTCTTACACTCAGTTTACTGATTGCTACATATACTATTTACTCCTTGCTATTTACTTCTATCCACTAATAGAAGTGAACAATGGACCAACCAGATGTTCTTAATACAGTCAGCTTCTTACACACATTTAAGATTTTGAATTACGTGTGTTAAAACTGCTATGGAAAATTATTTAGTCCTAAAACAATTTTTCCTACCAGCCAACTCTGACAGCTACCTTCAAACACCTGTGTTGGTATTTGCAACTATAAATGCTTCTCATAAGTCTTGTAGGTTTTTTTTTATTCAATTTTATCTCTCCTTCCCACTAACCTCACAAAGAACCAGAAATTACTCCAGAGAAGAGAATCATGCCACAGCATGACTTCCAGCAACTGGAGAATTTAATGGTTTTGTACCTATTATCATTTCTAACACTCCCTTGAAAGGAATACTTCAATCTCATGTTATATGATTATTATTTTAACATTGTAAAGGAAATAAAAATGCAGCATACCATCTAACCTTTCCATTTGTAACCTAGACTTAATTTGAAGTTTCACATATCTTGCCATATGTTACAGCTCACTTGTTGACAGCCAACCCACCTGTTGTAAAGTCTTTTCACAATGGAGGCAAGCTGTTGAAACCTCTGACAAGAGGATGGTCATGTCTTCTTGCTGTTGCCTAAGCCAAATCAACTTCTCTCTCACGTGAGCATCAACAACACTAAGAGCCATTTCTTCCTGACGACAAAGGGTTTCATGAAGATCAGAAAAGTAGGCTCGGACACATGAGCGTGCATTCTCTGCAGTCCCTGGAACCTACAGTGGTGCAGTCAGAACATCCAGAGGATTAAGAACATCGGTTGATTCCAGAATTAAATTTTTCATTCTATTCCAGTTTCTAACTTCACATCTGCTTGGCTACATCATAGTTCAAGTCTCAGTTACACAGAAAGTCTTATCCACCCTAAGCCAAAGATTGTCCAAAAACTTACTACAATAATGAAGCAGCTTATTTGTATGTATACACATACAACTGTGAATGTATGATACACATTTATGTATGAAGATACATATGAAGGTACGTATGAAGACAGGCAGAGAAGGTTGGGGCTCTTCAGCCTGGAGAAGAGAAGGCTGTGTGGAGACCTCATAGCATCCTTCCAGTATCTGAAAGGGGGCTATAGGGATGCTGAGGATGGACTGCAGTGATAGGCCGAGGGGCAACGGGTTCAAACAGGGGAAGTTTAGATTGGATATAATCCCAGGCACAGCTACAGGTTGGGCAGAGAAGAGATTCAGAGCAGGATATAATCCCAGCACAGCTACAGGTTGGGCAGAGAAGAGATTCAGAGCAGCCCTGAGGAGAAGGACTTGGGGGTGTTGGTTGATGAGAAAATGAACATGAGCCAGTTTCAGTGTGTGCTCACAGCCCAGAAAGCCAACCGTATCCTGGGCTGCATCAAAAGGAGTGCAACTAGCAGGTCGACGGAGGTGATCCTACTCCTCTACTCTCCTCTCATGAGACCGCACCTGGAGTATTGTGTACAGTTCTGGTGTCCTCAACATAAAAAGGACATGGAACTGTTGGAACAAGTCCAGAGGGTCATGAGGATGATCAGGGGACTGAGAACCTCCCGTATGAAGACGGCTGAGAAAGTTGGGGCTGTTCAGCCTGGAGAAGAGGAGGCTGCATGGAGACCTCATAGCGGCCTTCCAGTATCTGACAGTATCGGCCTGTAAGGATGCTGGGGAGGGACTCTTCATTAGGGACTGTAGTGATAGGACAAGGGGTAACAGGTTAAAACTTAAAACAGGGGAAATTTAGATTAGATATAAGGAAGGAGTTTTCTACTGTAAGGGTGGTGAGGCACTGGAATGGGTTGCCCAGGGAAGTTGTGAATGCTCCATCTCTGGCAATGTTCAAGGCCAGGTTGGACAGAGCCTTGGGTGAGATGGTTTAGTGGGAGGTGTCCCTGCCCATGGCAGGGGGGTTGGAACTAGATGATCTTAAGGTCTTTTCCAACCCTAGCTATTCCATGATACACACCTTACTAGCAGTTATAGAGCTTTCCCTATTGCCTCCGTATTTTCATGTAGCGTAAACACATTTTAATGGACTACAACTTCCCCTCCATTTGCTGGCTTAAGCCTCAATACCAGCTTGGTAGAGATAAGAACTTAATGTCTTGTCCTATAAAAACCTATGTTTAATTTTCAACAAAATTCCTTATCTTGATTATTACAAAAAGCAAGTATTCTGTGCATGCAGGGAGAGAAAAAAAAAGAAAGCATACGTGTTCAGTATGGGCCATTCCAACTCCATCTTCAACTATTTGTTCTCCTCCTTCTATATGCTGAACAATTACAACTAATTTTCTGGAATAATCTGAGATTTCTTCTGTGAACGTTCTTATACAGTGAGCCATGTCTAAAATGGATGCACGAATCTGGTTTGCTTCTGGTTCCAAAACAGAATGCTATTGATTAAAAAGCAATATATCAAAGATCAGTCATAAATACCTTCCTTAATGATATTTGCTATTTTATTACATCTGTGTGTGCCGGTATGAATAAGAGTGTGTGTGTGTGTGTATATATACGTGTATGTGTACATATATATACATATATATACAGGAAAGGCAAGTAAGAAGTTAAAACGATCTTGCAATTTAAAATGCAATCAGGAGTTACAAATTATGCTGGGTCTAAGGCATCTACCAATCACACAGGGATCAATTTTCCTGTTTACCATAATCATCATGAAAAAAAAGAAGGGTGGTTAGACTGCACCATGTTCGGTGAACCTAGCTTCTGCAGGATGAAAACAGCTTTTGGAACTAGTGACTCAATGTTCTGCATTCAGAATAGCAGCAGGTAAAGCATCTTAACAGATAAATAACTTATTCTAGTCTTAGAAATAACGGGTTTTTTCCTTGTAATTTTACCATGGCAGTTATGTGAAATGAAGGGAACAGTACAGTATGAAGTTCTACAAAAATACATCAAGAATCTACCCTTCTTTCTTGTTATTCTTTTGTACTTTAATTGAATAAATAATTATGCAAGCACAACTAGAAACAGCTTATTAGCAGTACCTTATGACCTTGATGCTTTCCATATTCTTTGCAGACACAACACATAAGAGGACTCGCCTGGCAGCCCTCTTCTAAGCAAACAAACTCAATAGCATGCACTTGGTGTTGGGAGCACATGGTCTTCTCATGAGGCTTATCAGCAAGAGGAACACGCCTGTGTTTTGCTAGTGTCTTTGTAGAATGAGTGAGCTGGGAGCAGTCTGCGCACAGGTGAGTGGCACAAACAGTGCAATACACAGATGCAACATGGGCTTCATCTTCATCGCAACGAATGATACTCTACCAAAAACAGACCAAAAGGAAAAAAAACAAAACTGAAGTTGTTACCATTTAATCCCAGCAACTGAGGAAAATCAGATGATTGGCCAGCACTATAAACCTGAAAACAGACTTTAAAAGTTACACACTAATAAATACTTGGACTACTTTGAAAACTTGACTTTAAGTTCTTAATATATTTAAAAAAAAAAAAAGTCAGTTTTCTCTACAGTCAACTCCGACAATTATTATAGAATTATACAGTGATTTTATAAATCCAAACTTCAGTGAAAGAGTTGTAAAGGTTTGGAGGATGAAATAATTCAGGCTCTAGTAATTTCCTCCAAAGAAATCATTACAGAACAAGGCATTAAAGTTACAGGCAGAAAAAACACCAGTGAACAAATAGGCACTTAGGACAGACAGTTATCTATTCCTAAAATGGCACTGGATGATATTTTTTACATACTAGTTGTTAACACTGAAATAGTTAAAGCAACTCGTTTTGGTAATGAAGTACTATTACATGATATAGTGATATCAAATGACTATAAAAGCCACCTAACTCCAGAAGTGGAAGTCTTTAAGAAGAGTTTCTAAGAAGTTTCAGAAAACTGTCCTTAAATCACTGTAACTAAAATATCCAAATGAATACCCTTTTCTAGAAATCTTAAAAGCTTAAAAAAGGGCAAAAGCGTATGCATGCTTGGCAATACCTTTTTCTTTTCTGCTTTAGTCATTACAGAGTGGCATTTAATTATGAAGCAATTAACTGAAGCCTTAATACTAGATACTGAAAGAAAACAACACCATTATTAGTGAAATTACATTTGCCAAATAACAGATTTTCATTTTTTTCTATCTAGAAAGCAAATAGAACAAACTTTCACTTTTTAAAGTTCAGTACCTCTCCAGACAGACCAATGGCTTCTTCTGTTGTCCCACACTGTCCGGCAGGTCCATTCTGCAACCGTTCCAAGAGCTCCAACAAAGCAAAATTTTTTTTCAAGCCCCAGACACCAGAATCTCCTATTTTTGAAGAAGAATCAAGGGAAGGAGAGGAACAAAACCATCAAGCAAATACCATCATGAGAAATTCCACAAACCACAGTTGAGATTCTGATAAACATTAAGAGCATATTAACTACAAAGAGAGACAACCACTAATTTTTCTCTGTAAGCTCACATTACCTTTCCAACCTCTTCCTTCCATCATGGAACTATTTAATATTTATGCAGATTTTCCCTATTTAAAAGATGCCAAGACTACTAAAAATTCACAGAAACTCAGTAAAAACACTTGTAAAATAATCTACAATAGCTAACAACTAAAGACTACAAGAAGCACAAAAACTCTCATGTGTATCATAGAAATTAATATTTTGCATAACTACATACAGCGAAGATTTCTACTGTACTAATGGACGCTGTGAAGAATTCATATGGACAAACTGCATATTCCCTGAATCACAAGATGCAATGCCTACTGTAGATCTCAGCAAAAACCTGAATGAGAGTTAAAATAATATTCAGAAAGACCCACATAAAATACTGTGAGTGTCCTGGTTTCAGTTATAAGTTTTTATTTCCTAGCAGCTGGTGCAGTGCTGTGTTTTGGCTTTAGTCTGAGAACCATGTTGCTAACACTGATGTTTTAGTTGTTGATCAGTAGCAGTTATCCTGATCAAGGATTTTTCAGTCTCTCATGCTCTGCCAGTGAGGAGGGGCACAAGAAAGCAGAGGGAGCAGAGACAGGACACCTGACCCAAATTATCCAAAGGGGTATTCCATACCACAGCACATCATGTCCAGTATATAAACTGGGGATAGTCACCCAGAAGAGCAGATCGCTGCATGGGATGGGCTGGGTATTGGTGGTCAGGTGGTGAACAATTATACTGGGCACTCTTAAGAGATATCTCTTATATAGTGATCTACATCTAACGCAGAAAACATGAAGCAACTTCCTCTCGGCAGAATTGTTACATATAAAAGAAAAACTGCTGTATTTTAGTAGTATGTTATCAGACATTGCTCAAAAGGGATACTTGCCATTTTCAATGACTGAATACACATACTCTGACATACTCCTCAAAATACAGCATCTAGAAAGTTATATTTCATTGACTGCAATAGGCTGATTATTGCTGAATCATAACTACATACTTTTGGAAATCAGAATGACCAATTACAGCTAGATTATTTGAGAACAGAGAGGTGCTTTAATGTAGCTTAGTATCAAATTCACTACGAATTTCCAGAATGAGTGTCAGTTCTCTGTGTAGGTTTGAGTACTTCTTTTTCTTCATTTAAAATTGGAGGCAGACCAGCTTTTGAAGTTGCCTACTGCCCAGACTAAACCCTTATTACTGTACAGTTTAGAATCAGTTTAACTCCTTCAGGAAAAGAAAAGGGGTGGTCGTAGTGTTGCTAGCTTTGAGTATAATGATTAAAGGCACAAAACCAGTAGTGTTTCCACAGTACAAATGACACCCTGTATTTAAACAGAATCTGTAGGACCTGAAATTGACTCATCTACTTTATGACAGAATTTTTGAACTGTGTTTATAAGACAAAGGTTGCTGCAGTTACTTTTTAAGAGTGTGGGACACCAATACTATCTGTATAAAACTGCATGTGCATGCTGCTTTTGTAATTCAGTATTTGTTTTATCCTTCATGCAAACATTCCCATCTAAGACAACGACGTAAACGTAGCAAAGTCCTGCTATTCACTTTAAAAAATAATACATATTACAGCTCTGCACTAAATTCAAGTATCTGATTTCCTCAACTTATGCTTTGCTTCAAACATGATCTGGAGAACATGATTTCAGAGTAGAATGCCAGATCTGGAAAAAAATCTGGCATTTTACTCTGCCTCTCATAATCCAGACGGAAAGACTAGCACAAGAGCAACTGCAGCCTCAGCTGGTTCCAGATGCCTGAAAACTCCTGGTATTTTCAGTTCACATATCTGGTGTCTGACAGCAGTCTGCACCTGACATGAATTCAGAGAAACTGTATCCCACATGTTTTCCCAAAGAGAAAGCCGAGGCTACTTGAGTTGTCTGGTTCTCCTGGCATTTCATAAATCCTGAACTATGCTGCCCTGTAGGTATATACCCCTGCATCTTTCTGGAGCTCATATGTCATCATACAGGCACGAAGTATTCCTTCTTCAATACTGAGACTTGCGAAACACTTCACAGATTTTGGTGCATAATGTTGCAAATGAACACACAGACACCAATTATTATGGGCAGCAGGCAGTTATATGAACCAACAGGGCAAAGTACTCATCCCAAACACTCATGTTTCACTGGTCCTCAGCTTGGTACACATAGCCAGAAAATTAGTGTTTTCATGATTCTAAGAGTAAGGATCTTCAGCTCCTGCAGGAGTCTGGATTTGTAATACACAAAGAGTATATGCTGCTATAAAGGCTCTTTGTAAAATTACACAAGCACCGTTCAAATATAGTCACAGCATAAAAGGCAATGCTGGTGTGGGGCTATGTTTTGGACTTGTGACCAAACATTTAGCTGTTGCTGAACAGCGCTTGCACAGTATGAAGGCCTTGTTCTGTTTCTCATGCTGCCTAACCAGCCAGCAGGTTGGGGGTGCACAAGAGGCTGGGAGGGGACACAGCCAGGACAGCTGACCCCAACTGATCACAGGGATATTCCACACCATATGGCATCGTGCCAGCATGTAAAACTAGGAGAAGGAGGAAGAGCGAATATTCACTTACAGTGTATATCCTCTCAAGTAATCGTTATATGTGATGGAGCTCTGCTGTCCTGGAAATGGCTGAACATTGGGCAGTGATGAATGAATTTGTTTTGCTTTGCTTGTGTGCACAGCTTTTGTTTTAACTACTAAACTGTCTTTATTTCAACCCACTTTTACCGTTCTGATTTTCTTCCCTGTCCTACTGCAGGGGAGTGAGTGGAAGTGTGGGGTTGAGCTGCCTACCAAGATTAAAATACAACATTCTCTTTTACTTCAAGAGCTATGAAACAAGAAAAATGAGACTGGCTTTTATCTTAAGACTTCAAAACTTATTAGAAGTAGATGCAAGTACTTTTATTACCTGACGACGTTTCTTCTGCAGTACTTACTCAGAGTAGAGCTGCATTACACAGCTAGGCACAATTACATGAAAGACCAGAATGCTCACCTGCCAACCATTTTCCATCAAGGGGAGCAGAACAAGCAGTTTCATGAGATGCATGCCTCATCAGGCCAAAGTGAGGGCAACAATGCTACGGTACCTCTGAAGAGGGGTGTGAACAGGAACCAACATATCCACACTGTATACCTTACTGGTTTGTGTAGCTTCCGTATTTGCTACATTAAACTTTCTTTCCCAGGCATTTTTCCCCACAAGTTTAAACCATCAACCACAATATTTTCAGTGGCCAAACTCAGAACAGACGTTATGTACCTCACAGGCAGAGTTCAGAGAACAGATAAATGGGTGAATACTGGTTTTCTATAGCTATAAATGGGAGCATATATAAGCTATTCTCCCCTTCAGAACCCTCCACTAGTATGAGACAACACTGACTATCTGTTTAAAATACGCTTACCAGAAAAACTATACATTTTAGCAAATCTGGAAAAGGGCCTATCAGGATGTTGACTGGTAACTTTAAAGTTAGGTATAAAGCAAAGGCATGTGAGTGCACTCTGCTGTCATCAGTTCCACAGTGGAAGCCTTCCCTGGTACAGACACTATTACCAACACCCAATTTAAACTCAGTGCACCCCACAAAATAAATTGTGAACTAAATAAAGTAGTATTTTAACTTTTGTTTGTCAGAGATCTTGAAGGAGTTTACAGAAGTTATGTTCTGTTTCTCCACAAGTACAGTTAGCACCAGCACAGTCATCTGCCTTGATATATTCTGACTTCAGAGTTTCGTTAATTTTTAGCTCTGGCACTCCTAGCAGGATCACAGTGTTTTTCATAACACAGACCAAAGAAGAGTCACCTCCTATTACAAGCTGAAGAAATACAGAGTGCAATATGAACTTTTAGAAGGTAAATTATGTCACACCAGTTTGTAACCAAGTCTGGATATGTTGACACTGTATTTGGACAAATTTCTGGACACTAACTCCCAGAAAGCAAAGCACAAAAAAGTGGCTAAATGGTTCACTTCTATAGTGTTTAGAACAGCACTGTCTATAGCACAACCTTCAGTTGCTGCAGTGTATATAATATTCACATTAACAACACCAATATAATAACTGCTGATACTAATGTGGACCTCCTATCTCCAGATTAGCTACTAATCCAGATAGCCATTAATAGCACAGTATACGAGGATGTACATGCACTGAAAGGATAAACCTACTTATGAAACAGATTACAGCAAATTAGTATTTAAGTAAACATTGTCTTAGCTTTTAAGCAGTCAGAGAGGAAGACTGCGTTCATTCAGGATACTTTCTTGCAAAAGTATTTTCTTTCACAGGTTTTAATATATTTATTAAAAAAAAAGCCAAACTAAGAAGTACTCAGCTCAAGTTTCTTCAGTTTACATTCTTATATCTGATTTTAATCATGTTAGTTCTGTTCCATGTCTAACAAGAAGAGAAAGCCAAGCCAGAAGTCAAAGCAGAACTAATTTACTGAAATTTAGTGAACAGAAAAGATACCTTTGTAGCTATTCTGCGCTTATTTTTCCAGTTCATAAAGCTGCCAGGAGAAACAAAGTTACACTGCTTTTACATTCTTTAAATGTTTATTACATATCTTGAGATTTGCCAATACACGTCACACATTGTCAGTCCACTGTCAATCTTGGACACAAATGGAAAGAACAGGCAATGCTTACTTATCAGCTATTAATCTACTAGAACAGAACTCATAACCATATAAAACATACATTATCATACAGAAAGTCATGTCCCATTGTACTAGGATCTACCATAAAGTTTATGTAGTTGAGAAAAAGCAACTTTGTTTCTTTTTACACTAAACCTACTATAAAATTACTATGCACTTGACATACTGGTTTCAGCACATCTCATCAAGTGTTCATTTTATATTTCAAAAACCAAAAAGATGAAATGTGCAAACACATCTACTTTCCTGGACTTCAGCTCAAATTCTGCTTTGGTCACCAGACTCTTTTAAAAAAAGAGTGCAGTGATCTCATCCTTGTGCCTACAAGGGATGTTTGTGCCCATTACAAAACCACTACACAATCTGCCTGTCTCTTCTCAAAAGAAGAATAAGATATGAATAGCAGGAAGTGTGTCAGCCAGGAATGACATAGTGACAGAGTGGAAATATTAAGACCCAACCTCAGCCAATGAAAGAAATGTCATTTTGAAAAGCATAAAGCTTGTTTGCAAAAGGATTATAAATAATACAAGAAATAAAGCAGCAACTTTTGTTTAAAAGTCTGAACAAAGCTGAGAGAATGTTATAGCTGCATTTTTGAACAGTATTTTTAAGCTTTATCTTAGCACTCAAACACAAGAATACACAAACGTAAACAAGACCAGTGGGATAGATCCCATGAAAGGTGATAACATCTGCATACATCAGTTCAATGAGTTCTAATGACAAAATAGTTTCAAGCCTGTAATGTGAAGATGGTAGGGAGAGTTCACCTAAGCCGTAAACTGTTAAAGCCTTCAATAGCAGAGCTGCTCAGCTAACATCAAAAGCCACAGTCTCCAAACCTGTTGTGCAGCACATCCTTCCCAACACTTCCCTGGCCCACATATTTTTAAAAGAAACCAATCCACTAATGCAATGAGGGACGAAAGCAGAATGCAGTTTGCAAGACATAATCCATCTCTTCTCCCAAATCCAGGTATTTTAAGGAAAAGGCTTTAAGAGTAGTCTCTTCTACAAAGACCATTTTATAAATTTTTCCCCAAATATACTGCCCAAGCATAATCTACAAAATATATGGCTTCAAAATTCTGGGTTCAGGAATGTTAATACAGCTGATGACAATCACTAGACAGCCCATGGACCTTCAACATGTATATACTTATTTCAAATTCTCCACTAGAAGATTAATCATAGGCAACTTCATTAAAGAACTTTCAAAAAACCCAAAATATCTAAGTTTAGTCCACTCTGCAAACTAATATGGCTTTAGTCCTATGAGTTCATTAGTAAATACGTCCTCTCATAGCAAGATTTTATGAACCATTATTTTGCTAAGCATGACAACATGCTATGGTGTCAGTTTTCACTTGCAGATTCTCTAATTCCAGAAACCCTAAGTACTTCTAACTTTGCTTTCCTGTACAGTTATGCATATATATAAAAGAGAAAGGCCAGTAAATTTAAACCAAGTGCTCACTTCAGAAGGGAATATAGCCATACCTATAAATATATAGGTCCCTGAGTATTACTTTCAAAAAGTTTACAAGATTCACTGGGAAAACTTGGATGAATATAGGATAAAATGATTTACTAATAAGATCAAAGGAAAACAAGCAAGTCTATCTGCTGAACTGTATAGGTTAAATGGCCAACTAAAAGCATCCTTAAAATCCACAGTTAGTGATAAAGGAACTCTGTTCAATACAGGTAGCTTTATGTCCTAATTATACAACTTTTCCTTCAACAGAATTTTCTCTTGGCAGAGATCCCGTAATCTACATTTAGATGCTGAACAGCTTCCTGAGACTACTTTAATAAATGGCAGAATGGCAATTGCAGAAGTGGGTGAAAATGGAGCTTGCTTTCTCACATGCCCTCAGGTGGAGGAAAGGGAAGGATGAGAAGCTCTCCATGCCCAGGAGTTATGTCTCCCTCCCAGCTCCACTCCTGAGTTCCCAGGAACCTAACTAAAAGTGCAACAGATTAACTGGGTAATTAAAGCATTATTTCTCTAATCACCCAGTAAATACTAGGTGCTTAGAGAAAGACAACAAATGCACAGATGCTTCAAAGTGAGGCCATGACAAGCTGCACTCCACAAAACACTAAATTTTTACATGCTGGAAGTAATATTTCTCAAGATAGTTCTTATGGACCTAAGAGCAGCTACAAACCTCTTCTGCCCCAAACCACCATGCAGAATATTTTTATTCACAGAAGTATTTTTCTTTTCAAGCTGTTTTGCTATAATTTTCTACCTGTCATTTTTTTGAGCAACTGCTGGTAACAGCATATCATCCTGCTTTGTAGTACTAGGCAGTAGGATGCAAGTCCACTTTATTCTAGACACAAAAGCAAAAGCTTTTCTTCCCTCTTGCTATCTGTAGGAGTATCTTACAATTTTAATAACGCTCCACTGTGTTTCATCAGAAACTCATCAGTAATTTGCAAAAAGCAAAAACTCTTAATCTTTTTATAAAGCTTCATTTTTGTTAAACCTGAAACCCACATAAAATTATGACAGGATACTTTCAGATGCCGGGGAAAAGATGCACAACAAAAACTTAGACGTGACAAGTTCCCATTTGTAGTAAAATTGCTACTTTTACTTTACAAGATACAAGCAGTGGTCTTGAACAGAAATGTCTCACAACAGCAGGACTGAGTCTTCTGCTCTAACATTCTTCCCCTTAAAAGCAAACTTTGAAGAAATCTTGCACAGCTGTACAATCATAGATATGAAATAAAACAAATTGTGACTCTTTTAACCACATCTTCTAGACCGGCAATCATTCATGATGCTCACACTTACTGCCTCCCTCCCTGCTGAAAACAAACCCCTCTTTCATACAAGACTGATATTTCTTTTTCTGACTCCTACTTCCATGAAAGCATCCCACACAGGGCCTGAATACTCCTCTTAGTTTGGTCTACAATGCACCAGATTCTCCTTCTGCAAAGTAAATTCTTACTCAAGTGAATCTGTTATTTAAACAATTCTTCATGGATTACTAGATTAGAGATCTTGCTGTCCAAGTATTCCCCTCCTTCCAACAGCTTTTTTTCACTGTGATATCCAAAACTGCTGGAGCCAGTTCTATTAACAAATTCTTCTCGGTTCAAATTCTTCTGATAACTTGTCTTCTCTGTAACCCCACATTGAACAGCCAATTCCTATTTTGAAGGAACTGTAAGTACATATTATCTTTTGGATAAAATAAACTTCCATCATTGGGAAAAAGGTATCTTATTTTTTCAAATACTGTCTGCAGACACTCTTACAACAGGGGAATTCCTGCTGACAGCCTGCCACTATCAGTTACTGCATATATAGAATTACTTGACATTTTAAAAACCATGTTTGTTATCACTTCTTCATGAACCCAGACAAATCTTTTTGTCAAATAAATTACCTATTTAATTGCATGGTCTATTTAGTATTTAGAACAACAGGAAACTAACATCCATTCAGGAACCCTTAGACACTAATGTAAAACAGAGTAGTCCCTTTGTAAATATAGGTGTACAAGAAGACTTTGAGGTTTAAAGCTTGCAAGACCAAGTTCAAAAAGATAAAGATAAAATCTTGACTTTCTTTTCTAAGATATCTATTTTACTACTGCTTAACAGTGCTATGATCTTCTCTGAACAAAAAGGAACACTGCACATTTATTACTTGGAAATGTTATCACTAAGTGGAGCACTAAGAATCTATATATAGCTTTATCTTCCAGACATCCTTAGCTGATAGGTTTTAAGAACTGTAGACGTACATTTTCTTACCTAGTTCAGTAACTTGTCGATCAAATGGACAACGAACTGCTCTGCCATGAAGGGGAAGCCGGGTAAGACAATCATGGCAGACAGTATGGCCACACAAAAGCAGCCGGGGAACTTTGTCACCTTGCAAAGAAAATACATCTTCACAGACCCCGCACTCAAGAACCTACAATTTAAAGAGAGACCTTATTTGCTTTTGAGCTGATGAAAAAACAAAACGTAATGCAGTAAGCCATATGACACAGCTTATTTTACAGAAGTTCCTGCAACCACAGCAAGTAGGCAGAGTCATCAATTTTGCTTTGTACACACAAATAATGATCATAAGAATTATATTTAAAAGATAAACACACATGAACAGAAGATTTTAACTCTTCAGCATCCCACCTGATCACCACTAGTTCTTGCCCACTTCATTTAATACACTGCCACAAGAAAAGCCCACTGCTCAAGCAGCACAACTAAGTAAGCAGAAACATTCTCACAGGAAAAGGAAATGGAGGGCAAGACCCTGCCAAAGCAGACTATCAGCTGGTGGAGAAAATTTCCATTCATAGCTGATGCACATAAAATGTCAATCATACCAAGTTAGCCATTTATGAAGCTACAATTGCGCAGCATCGAGGTAGCAGGAACAAACAGCAGGGGGCCGGAACATCTTAAACCACTAATAAAAAGCAAAATTAATCGTCATTTAGGAAAAAAAAAACACCCAAACAAAAAAAAACAAACACACAAAAATAAAAAATCACAAAACCAAAACAACAACAACAAAAAAACGAAAACAAAAACCACCACCAAAAAAACCACAACCAACCAAAAAACCCTAACCACCCGAAAAAACTATCATCCACCGGACAACAGCTCACCATCTCCGGCAGCCCAGGCATCACGTTTTCTCCGAAACTGCTCCCCACTGAGGCAGCCAGCCTGCCCTCACACTGAGGCCTCTCGCCTCGCAGCCCTCCAGGAGATACCTGACGGCAGCACGGCTCTGCGCCAGCGGGGCGGGGAAAGGGCCTCCAAAGCAGCCTCCCTGCTCGGCCTGGCCCAAACTGAGCCCTGCCGCTTCAGGGGACTCCTCCTGGCCCGGAGCCCCCACACCACCCTTTCCCCAGCTGGGCCAGGGACAGCGCAACCCCAGCCACTACAGTCTGTCCTGCCGCAGCAGGAGCTAAGCCAGACGACGTGAAGGGCCGAGCCACCCTTCTCACCTTCACTGCGGCACCAGCCGGGCCGCGACCGCCGCTTCCAGACCCCCGGCTACCGTCCAGACCAGTACCAGCCACAATTCTGTTGGCACTTAGGGCTGCCATCTTGTAGGTGGGCAGAATCGAGCGGCCCGCAGCAGGAAGGGGAGGGCAGGGGAGGGGAGGGCTAGCCCCGCGAGGGCTAGCGACCGCCGTCCCTTCGCTTTCAGGGCCTTCTGGGGGCTGTAGTTTCGTGCTGCTGCGGCGGCGTCGAGTTGCATCATGGGACAGGCGTGTGCGGGTTCGGTGGTGTTCGCAGCGCCGGAGCACTGAAGGCAGGCTCATCTCGGCTCTCTCGGCCGAGCGTTTTTGTTTTCCGCTACCGGCAGCTTTTTGGCCCGTCGGCGTGAAGGCTGGCACCATGGACGTTAACCAGCCCAAGCAGGAGCATTTGCTGGCTCTGAAAGGTACTGCAGCGCGGCCCACCGAAGCCCACCAGCGCAGCCTTGCCTTAGCTCCACTCCCTGCTCTGGGGCTGGCTCTAAAGAGCGAGGCGAGGCGAGGCGGCCGGGCTCTGCTCGGGGGGGCAGCCGGGAGGCGTGGGCTGTGGTCATAAAACAAGCCGTCCGCGTCGGAGGGGGGGCCCGATTCTTCTCCTCCTAGAAGGCCAAGGAGGGAGCGGGCCGGCAGGAGGGCACAGGGCGGGAAGTGGCCGAGGGTAAAAAAGAGGCAGAGGAGGTGCGGTGGCAAGCTATTGTGTGTGTGCACCTTGCGTGGCGGGGTCATCGAGGTCGTGCGATGTATTTGCATTTTACACAGTTTTCAGCAGTTACAGGGGGGAAGAAAAAAAACAAAACAACAACAACAACAAAAAAAAAAAACAACAAACAAAAGTCATAGAATGGTTAAGGTTGGAAAGGACCTTAAGATCATCCAGTTCTAGCCCCCCTGCCGTGGGCAGGCCCATCTTCCACAGGACCAGGTCGCTCCAGGCCCTGTCCAGCCTGGCCTCGGACATTGCTAGGGATGGGGCAGCCACAGCTCCTCTGGGCAACCTGTGCCAGCACCTCAGAACCCTCACAGTAAAATACTGTTCTAATTTCCAGTTCCCTGCTGTCACTTTTGCTTGTTTGGTGTAATCCTCTCACCCCCTTAATGGTTTTGCCCCTTTAATCTTATGCTTAATGCACTGCTACTGGGCTTGCATCCTTGATTCAGGAATCACAAATAGCAGAAATAAGAATATGTCTCTCACGTACTTTGCAGAATTAATACAGAAATCAAGAGAGCCCTGTAAACAAATTGTTAATTTCTGCTGGCATTTTGGGTGCCAGTAAGTCAGCAATAGAAATTCTGAGGAGTCTGAATCTACTTTAACTTTAATTCAATCATCAGACATAATATTTACTTTCTTTTTTTCTAAGTATTCTTATTTATAAATAGATGCTGCTTGTTAAGTAGGAGTAATAAATAGTTGGTTAAAATCTCAGTTCTGTGAGCATCCTAAATCAGTGTGGCTGCTTGGATGAAGTAATGCAGCTGTGTACGTTATTTCAGAGCTCATGCCCATTTACGAGTTTTGCAGTACTCCTGGAGAGAGGCTTTTAATGGTGTCTGCATGTCACTGTAAGATAACAACCATAGAATCATAGAATAGTTAGGGTTGGAAAGGACCTTAAGATGATCTAGTTCCACCCCCCCCCCGCCATGGGCAGGGACACCTCCCACTAAACCATCTCAGCCAAGGCTTGGTCCAACCTGGCCTTGAACATTGCCAGAGATGGAGCATTCACAACTTACCTGAGCAGCCCATTCCAGTGCCTCCCCACCCTTACATTAAAGAACTTCTTCCTTATATCCAGTCTAAACTTCCCCTGTTTAAGTTTTAACCCGCTACCCCTTGTCCTGTCGCTACAGTCCCTAGTGAAGAGTCCACTCCCACATCCTTATAGACCCCCTTCAGATACTGCAAGGCTGCTATGAGGTCTCCATGCAGCCTTCTCCAAGCTGAACAGCCCCAGCTTTCTCAGCCTGTCTTCATACAGGAGGTGCTCCAGTCCCCCGATCATCGTCGTGGCCCTCCTCTGGACTTGTTCCAACAGTTCCATGTCCTTTTTATGTTGAAGACACCAGAACTATACACAATACTCCAAGTGAGGTCTCACGAGAGCAGAGTAGAGGGGCAGGATCACCTCCTAATTCAGAGATTAACAAGGCCTTTTTTGAGTATATGTACACACACACACAGTGAAGCCAAAAACCTGAGAATGTCATCAGCTGATATTACAAACACATTTCAATAGTAATTAATTCAAAGCAAAGAGTTTTATGACAGATAATTTTGCCTTTGTAAGAAACCAGTGTAATCCTTTGGCTCGTATGAAAATTGGTGCAGGTTTAAGACTGATTTTGCAAAAGAGGTGAGAAAGGTATCAAAATGATTGCAAACATGTTGGGTGGGACAAGGATGGGAGAGCAAGAGAGTGCATGTTAAGTTCTACCGTAGCATTTGTAGGTCCATGTCCTGTCCCCACACCCCTGGAACTTAATATAATCTTTGTATGAAAGAAAGCAATGATGTATGAAAGTATAAAATCTTTAAGGGCTTATTATTATTCAAAAAGTCTAATAGATTTAGGAAGTATCAGGTCCTTAAGTTAAGGACTAAAAATATGATTGCATGCATTGCTCGGAAGCCCTGAGACTGTCGTGGTTTAAACCCAGTCAGGTAACTTGTTCACTCACTCCCCCCCTTCTTGCCCTCCCCCTACTCCTGGAGGGACAGAGAGGAGAATCAAAAAGAATGCAACTCCCACAGGTTGAGATAAGAACAGTTTAGTAACTAAGGTATAACACAAATCACTACTGCTACCACCAATAATAATAATGATAAAGGAAATAACAAGGGAAGAGAATACAACACCTCACCACCAGCTGACTGATAACTTGCGCCCCCCAGCCCGACCAAGCTCTGACTGATACCTCCTCCAACCCTGCAGTCTCCCAGCCCTTCTGGGTAACTCTCAGTTACATCCTGGGCATGACGTGCTGTGGTATGGAGTACATGGAATACCTCTTTGGTCAGTTTGGGTCAGGTGCCCTGTCTCTGCTTCCTCCCGGCTTCCCCTCCTCCCTGGCAGAGCATGAGGCTCACAAAGTCCTTGGCCAAACCAAAACATCGCTATCAGTTCTGTTCCCGAGCCGAAAGTCAAAACACAGCACTGCACCAGCTACCAAGAAGGAGAAAAATGACTGCTACTGCTGAACCCAGGACAGAGACTTAAAACTAAATGTGTAGTTCTGATATGAAATGGAAGCAAGCAACTTTCATTTGCCTAAAGAACTTCCCTTTTAACTGGTTACTGTGAAAACTGATACATCAATCAGTACTATTTCAGGAAGGGTTTTTGTAGCACATTCTAGTTGCTTTACATGCCCTGTCTTAAATGTTGAAGTGTAGGAGGAAAGCACTTAGAAAAAAAAAAAAAGTTAGGTAAATTTAAGAAAATAGGCACCAGTAATTGTGTGTCTTTTAATATACATCACAGTAATACAGGAAGGGTAATGACAGGTGGATAGCAAGAATGAGATATTGACAGTAAAAGAATACTCTTGGGAAGATCAGTATTGAGTAAAATGTGTGCATACAGGTAATGTTCAGCATACCAAAGTTATATGGTAATGGTGGTGTACAGTTGCTAATGTTCAGCCTAGATAAAGTAGAATATTCTGATACATATCTTGCTTATTTTTACAACATAACTTTTGTTTTTTTGGTGTTGTGATTTTTTGGTTTGGGTTGTGTTTTTTTTGTTTGGTTGTTTGGTTGGTTTGGGTTTGTTTTTTTTTTTTGTAAAATATCCTAGCAGTATTTTTCTTAATATGGTAGTATCTTATTTTTTTATAATACTTCTGCTTTAGGTCCTGTTTTCCACTGATCTTTGCAGCACGAGGCAAGCGAGTGCTTATAAATAAGATGTTTCAGTCTAGATTTGAGAATCCTAATCAAGAAACCATTCCCTTTCTTAAGAGTAACTGGATTCCTTCTGTACAAGCATGGAAGTGGTCTTGCATTATCGACCATATCAGAGAGATCTAGTAAAACTGCAGAACTTTGCAGAAGCAGCAGTGGAGGAGTTTCCCATTCGTCGGTTACCAAGATTTACACCCTGGTTTCCAAATGATTTATACAGACTTCCCCTCAAACCAAAAAAGCAGCCACCTCTTATTTCTTGTGAGGAAGCAGAAGAATTGAAACAGCTTTCTACACCTTCAGAATATGTTACAGGAGCTCCCGATTGTGACTGCACAAAGTACCTCCTTGAGTTTCAGTCTGACGTGAAACACAGGCAGACTTTAATCCAAGCACAAACTGTTCACAGACTAATTAACTTGGAGAATCAAGGAGACCCACCACGTAACGGAATACAAAAATTGAAAAGGTCTTGGAGTGTCTCTCTCCCTAGCCCTAAGCTTAAAGAAAAGATCCTTCCTTTGTCTCAAGAACTGCAAAATAATTTAGAAAGACTAAAACTGCATGCATTTTACAGAGCAAAGTGGGTAATTGAAGAGTCTATTTGTAATAGTCAGAATTTGGAGGACATCTGGGTAAAGCTGAACAGGCTTATCAAGCACAATGAATTGCCATCTTGCAACGCTACTATCCAAAGATCTGTGGGACAGATATGGATTTTCTGTGATATATTATACTGTGAATATGTTAGAAATATTCTTAGGGAAAAGCTAAGCCTTACTGATAAGATGAATTTACTTGTACATAAATTTGGAATTATATTTAGTTTGTAAGGTGGAGATAAAATTGCAATCTGAAGTGCTGGAGTTTTTTAAGCAGCTTAGGTTATACAAGCTTTAGAACAGCTGATGAATTAATGAACAGAAATCTGCTTAATATTACTTTGCTACAGTTGTTTTAGCTGCAATAATTATTTATTAAGATGAGTAAGTTTCTGCTTGGCTTAGTACTGCATTTTATAGGTTTTTCTCTACGTTGGTGGTCTAAAGGACAAAAAATAAAATAAAAATTCCAGACTATTATGGCAAGCTGTGTCAGATAATTTCAGTCAAGCAAAGTACATCCTCACTGTGCTTCTTGGAAGTTAGGAGAGGGAAGAATAATTTTAAGTGTGTTGCTATAATCATTATAAGGAT